GTGTGCGCCCTCACGGCCCCAACATGGCGGGACCGGCCCCCCCTCAGCACCCCCGGTCTGGGACCGGCTCCCTCTTAATGCCCTCCGGCCCGGCACCGGTCCGCGCTCAGCCCCTCCCGGCCCGGGGAAGCCCCGGCGGGACCCTCTCGTGAGGCTGCGGGAAAAGGTGACCGAACCTCGCACCACCGTCCCAGCGCGCTGCCCTCCCCTTCCCCTCACCCGATCTCATCGGCGCCTCCCACGCTGTTCATGGCGGCGACTCCTCCGGGGCCGCGCCCGGCTCTTCCCTCCGGTGGCGGCGGTGCCAGCGGCGGGTCGTGGGGCCGCGGGCGGGCGCTCCCGGCCGTGTCCCGGTTCCCGTGTCCCGGTTCCCCCCCCGCCGCCCCCGGCCCGGCCCGGCCCCGCCGTGCGCGGACCGCCGGATCCCAACAAAGCGCGGAAAGAAACGCACAAAGCATCAAAAGGCATCAGCGCCAATATTAGCGCTGGTTAGACCCGCTCCCCGCGGAACTAGGCCAGCAGATGGTGCTACCCGTCATTATTCCATTAGGCTCCACATTTAACCCCCGCGGGGACCGGCTTTAACCCTTCGCGCTCCCCGCCCGCAGCGCCGCCCACAGCGGCTGCTCGCTCCCTGGAAAACCGTGGGAACCGGGCGCTGTGCTGCGCTGGACCGCGCTGCACCGCAACCCTGCGGCTCCAGCCCCGGGGGAGGGCACGGGGGGACAGCGGCCGAATCCCAGCCTGTGGCCTTAACAAACAGATTTTGCTCTCCAATATACTTTTTGATTTTTTTTAAATTATTTTTCTTGCATTTACTTTATTACTATACGGTGGTAACAGTGACTGTAAATCCTTTGCTGACAGGCTTCCCTGCTTCCTACAGAAAATGGAAGAACTGCTCGGTTTTATCCCTCTGCCTCTGCCCAGACCTGCGGGACCCTGCGGTGGAGACCTCCTCGGGACACGGCTCTCTGGTAAGCGCCTCTTCATTCCCAGGTTGGGTTAAAGTGCTATTTTAAAAAAATCAGACAAGTTTTAAAATACGTATTGTGAACATGTCAAATAAAACCAAAAAGAAGATTGGGGTTTTTGCAAGTCCCGATAAGGGCTCCCGATCCCGATAAGGGCTCCCATTCCCGATAAGGGCTCCCGATCCCGATAAGGGTTCCCATTCCCGATAAGGGTTCCCATTCCCGATAAGGGTTCCCATTCCCGATAAGGGTTCCCATTCCCGATAAGGGTTCCCATTCCCGATAAGGGTTCCCATTCCCGATAAGGGTTCCCATTCCCGATAAGGGTTCCCATTCCCGATAAGGGTTCCCATTCCCGATAAGGGTTCCCATTCCCGATAAGGGCTCCCATTCCCGATAAGGGCCCCCGATCCCCGCAGGGGCCCCAGCCGGCTGTGCACACTCAGCACTTTCCAGCAGGGCTATTTAAAGCCGGCCAAGAGCCCCGTGGCCCTTTCTCTCCCTCTCCCTCCTCCCGGCCCGTCCAGCTGGACTTTCCTCCCGCAGCCATGAGCTCCGGAGCGGCGGCGGGGCCGATCTTCAGCGAGGGCGAGGACTGCAGGGCGGCCTGGAGGGCGGCCACGGCGGGCTACGATGAGCCCGATGCCCACCTGGAGATCCTGGGCAAGCCGGTGATGGAGCGCTGGGAGACCCCCTACATGCACTCGCTGGCCACCGTGGCTGCATCCAAGGGTAACGGGGGGCTCCGGGGTGTGCCGGGGGTGCAGCTTCCCCAAAAGCAGCTGGCGTGCGGGGAGATGTGCTGGGGGACCCCACTGCTTGTGCCCCCCACTGCTTGTGCCCCCACTGCATGTGGCCCTCATGCAGTGACAGGGGCAGCAGGGCCATGGTGGCATTTGTGTCCTTGTGACGCAAATGCCACCATTCTTGAAAGGGGATGGGGACATGGGGAGGGGATGCAGCCACCTCCCATCCAGGCCCTGCTGATTTTGGGGATGTTTCCCCTCCCAGGATCTGCCGCTTTTGGGGCTGTTTTCCTTGGCAGAGGGAGGGTTGGACGTTGTATGTTCTCACTGGGATCAACTGGGGGGGTTTGTTGGGGGCAAAGGGCCACTGTGGGGGGACAGCAGGTGACAGGGACACAGGGGCAGCTGGGGGGACAGCAGGTGACAGGGACATGGGGCTGCTCCCAACTTCTCCCCTCAGCGCCAGCAGCACCACGTGCCAGCTTCCAACCTCCACCCAAAGAGCCCAGTTTGGGGAAAAAATGGGTCGGAATTCAGGGCTTGGGGGAGAGGGGGTTTGAGGCAGAGAAAAGCCAGAGCTGTGAGTGCTGGGTTCCACCTGCAGGCGGCCGCGTGCTCGAGGTGGGGTTTGGGATGGCCATCGCCGCCTCCAAGGTGCAGGAATTCGGCATCGAGGAGCACTGGATCATCGAGTGCAACGAGGGCGTTTTCCGGCGCCTGGAGCAGTGGGCAAAGGCACAGCCACACAAGGTCAGGGGCACGGCGGGCTGTGCCAGGGTTGGGGGGTGCCTGTGGCCCCCCCAGCTCACCCCTCTGCCTCCCACCCGCAGGTGGTGCCCCTGAAGGGGCTGTGGGAGGACGTGGTGCCAACGCTGCCGGACGGGCACTTCAGCGGTGAGACATCAACAGCAGGGTGGGCAGGGGCTGGGACCCCACTGCAAAGTGGGGGTGCAGCAAAGCCC